ATTTGCACCTTCAGGATCACAAATGAACTCTATCTCAGTTTTACTTATATGTTCCCTTTTTGTTTTCTTATATGTCCGCACTAACGACTCCTTTTTTTTCAAAGTTTGTAGGAACTAGCTGAAACCGTAAACCTCAACATAATGAAGATGAAGATGGAAAATCTAGATTCTGTAACATGTTCATAGTCTATTTAAATATTTTGAATAATAAGCATTTAATCTTTTGATCATTGTAATGTGTTGCTCATTTACCTTCTCAAACACCAGACATGTAAATATTGATTTATAAAACTTATTTATATATTAATAGTATTGTCTTGAACAGTGTTCTTAAAACCCGCAGCAAAGCGCGGGCATTCATGCTTGTTGGTTACTAAGTAAAAAAATAAAGTCTATCAATTCCCTTAATCACTATATTTTGGTAATAAAATTTTAATTCATCCCATTTTTAATAACAGCTATAGCATTTTGAAGTATTTTTCTTTCTATTTGATATATATTATACGTTTACTAATTAGCTGCCTCTTGTTCTAGTGACTTTTTTCCCGTTCTGTTGATTCATATACCCTCTTTCGTACGTAAATGTAAAATATGCATTACCCAAGGGGTCGATCTTATATATATATATATATATATATATATATATATATATTATCTATTCATTGCTTACTAAGATGGGATTCAAATGGAAAGTTCTTGTTTGTTCCTACTTGTACATGCTAAGTTCCTCTAAATAATCGAAAACATCTTTGTCAACGAGCATCGGTCTTAGACTCTTAGCAAATAAGAAAAGCCATAGCTTTTTCCAGAAGGGGTTTATCATATACGTACACGGTCATGAATGATCCTATGAGATTATTAAAATTTGGAAAGGTTGATTGCTTTGGTATTTTACCATAATATATTAGAGGTTTCCAATGCAAACTTTTACGCATGGAAGACCTATAAAACACAGCTTGCGTATTAGAAAACAAAATTAACCCAAAAATCAAAATTGATAAAGTGCAAGAATGTATAGAAAACAATAAGAAGATAGGTGGTTTATTTTATTTTTTTGTCATTGTAGAGAAAGTAGGAGTGGTCTCAATTGAAGATAAGATGAGAGAAAAATCGGCTAAGGTGGTTAGGACATATGAATTGAAGATCTACATATATTATGGTTAGAAAATACGCTTATGAGATAGATGCTCAGGGGAAAAAGGGTAAAAGAAGTCTTCGGAAGACTTGGAAAAAGACTTTAAAAAAAAAACATGAAGTACATAGAGCTAACAGAAGATTTAGCGTAAAATCAAGCGTGGTAACGTTCTAAAATTCATGCAATCGACCCTACTTAATGGGATAAGACTTTCCTGTTGTTGTTTCTTCTAATTAACCTCCCGAGTCCCAACCTTTTGATATTTATTACCAAGAAAAATATACAGGGAACTATTTTTTTGTCTTGGCAAGGACAAGAAGCCAATTGTGGATTAGTCTCGTAGTTGTAATAGTACGTTATCCCCATAGCTCTGAAAAAGGTCAAGGGATATAGTGTGGAGGACAACCTAGGCCAAACTTTCAAGGGTTTTATAGGATTATGTCCAATGTCGATGAATTATTGTAGTCGATTCATACTTTAATTATTTCCATGGACTGACCAAGTTTAGAATAGTTTATAATTATATATATAGTCCCTGTCAGCTGGTGATATATAACAAGAAATTCGTAGTCTACCATATATTGAATTAATGATCAATATCCACACAAAAATAAATAAATAGTAATTAATATATGGTTAATAGGAGATTATGCTTGCTTAACAACTAGCTATAGATTAGGACCTCCTACCTAATCTCATAAAGTTATAATATGTCTTTGTGTTGACTAAAGAATTGGATTTAGGGTTTTAAAAATCGCCAACAAACATCGACTTAGGTTTCCAGAATCACTAGAAACATGCGTGTAAATGGTTGGTGCTAATCAAACTTCTTGCCCAACAATTTCTACATTTGACTGGCAATAATATATAATATACTTACACACACACAACAGGCAGCACCGACTTAAACATCACCAACTTTCTCTTATGACAAGATGAATTTAAACTAATTACCTCTTAGGAATTGTTGTCATACACAGAACTGTGCACCGCATCTCTCTAACTACTGTTGACCTTTCCATTGCAAAATCTCTAACGTCAGGAAACACAAAGAGCATCGAAAGAGATCATACTAATTTATGTCACAAATTTTTTGATTAATTATTCATGTTGAGTCTCATTTTCATTGTGAATCTTACTGTAACAAATAAGATATTGAATCTACCACTTAGTTGCTATCCATAACTTAAAATTTATCCTTGATACATGTAGGGCTCGTTTCGTGGGTTAGATGAGATTGAGCTGATTGGATTGAAAGATACTTGTAAAACAGGATATGTAACTCATATATAAGGATATGTTAGATAATCCACTCTTTTGTGGATTTAAAACCCATCATGTTTGGTGCTGTCCACCTCACATTTTAATACACAAATAATGGACTGGACTCAAGTTCATTTTAATTGATCACAACCTATCTTATCCAGTCTACCAAACAAAACCATAATGTTATTGATATGATAATGCAGCCTAAAAATAAGTTAAAAATTGGGCTAGTCTACCATGTTTACATTTTTTTTTTTTAATTGAGCATGGGCTTGACATGAAAAAAGTACTCAAAACTCGAGTCCAAAACCTTGTATAGACATGCCAGTTTGTGGCTCGTTTAATTGTTCCTAAGCTGGACTAATGTTCTTGCGTGCCATCGGCCCAATCGCCTCTTACTAGCAAAAGAGTACATTACACTGATTTCATTTTTTCATAATGGTAAAATTTTGGAAATGTTGTATGATCTTATACACTTTTCTTTTTAAATAAACCAAAATTTAAGCAATTGTCATATCAATTTTATGAAATAATTAATTTTTCATATCACTCTAATTTCGTTAAATTTTTCATCCAAAATAAGTCATATACCTTGTCACATCCCGGCCCGGGCGAGACCACTTCTCAAGTCCAACTCCACCATAGCACAATATTGTCCACTTTGGGCCTCGACCACGCACACACTGTTTTGTTTCTAGGAACTCATACGAGAATTTCCAAATGGGTTACCCATCCTGGGAGTGCTCTCACGCGCTACTCGCTTAACTTCGGAGTTTCGATGGAACCCGAAGCCAGTGAGCTCCCAAAAAGCCTCGCGCTAGGTAGAGATGAGAATAGACATATAAGGATCACTCCACTAGGCGATGTGGGATGTCACAATCCACCCCCTTAGGGGCCAGACGTCCTCGTCGGCACACTACAACCAGGGTTAGGCTCTGATACCAAATTGTCACATCCTGACCCGAGCAGGACCACTTCCCGGGCTCGACTCTACCGTAGCACGATATTGTCCGCTTTGGGCCCCTAGCATACCCTCATAGTTTTGTTTCTAAGAACTCACACGAGAACTTCCCAGTGGGTCATCCACGAGAACTTCCCAATAGGTCACCCACGAGAACTTCCCAATGGGTCACCCATCTTGGGAGTGCTCTCGCGCGCTACTCGCTTAACTTCGGAGTTTTGATGGAACCCGAAGCCAGTGAGCTCCCAAAAAGCCTCGTGCTAGGTAGAGATGAGAATATACATATAAGGATCACTTCCCTGGGCGATGTGGGATGTCACAATCCACCCCTTTAGGGGCCCCACGTCCTCGTCGGCACACTACGATCAGGGTTAGGCTCTGATACCAAATTGTCACATCCCGACCCGGGCGGGACCACTTCCCGGGCTCAATTTCACCATAGCATGATATTGTCCGCTTTGGGCCCCCAGCACACCCTCACAGTTTTGTTTCTGGGAACTCACATGAGAACTTCCTAGTGGATCACCCATCATGGGAGTGCTCTCGCACGCTACTCGCTTAACTTCGGAGTTCCGATGGAACCCGAAGCCAGTGAGCTCCCAAAAGGCCTCGTGCTAGGTAGAGATGAGAATATACATATAAGGATCACTCCCCTTGACGATGTGGGATGTCACATACCTGGCACATTTATTTTCAAAGGGTATTTTGAACATTTCAATTCCCTTTTCTTAAATGGACACGATTGATCACATTGAATTCTCAAAGTTTGTTAAACTCCATGTTAGTGAGCCTAATGTATTTTTTTAGTAGTTCACCAAAAGTTTTTGAAACAAATTTGATATGTTTTTTTACTAGCTAAATTTTTTAGGTTCGTGCTAAGAGAAGTAGATAACTTGTAAAAAGGAGATTAAAAGTTCAAACCAGTTTATTTCCCAACTCCTAATGTACATATATTTTTGTATAAAAGTAAAGAAATAAAAAAAAAATGTGAAAAGGGTCTAAAAGTTCGAAATAACGGTGAGCACAAACTTATTTTGGATAGAATGAGTAATGAAGTTAGAGTAAAATGATATATTAATGATTTCAAAAAATTAATATGATAAATCACTTAAAATATTAATTCATATATTAAATTGAAAAATACATAAAATTCATATGACATTTCACAAAAAAAATAAAAAATAAATAAATAAATAAATCTTTCCTTCACCTCCAAATTTTCAAGAATAAAAAAGGATATACTGTTTTGGATGTAACCTTAAGCATGACTAACACTAGTCATCAAAAACTCATCCCAGAAGACATATAAACTGGGACCCAAAGGCACCATGCACATTGGTCCCCTCCAGTACAAAGACAAAAAATCCTTGCTAGGAAGGAAGCACCTAACATTATTTCCGGAATTTAGTCGGTTCATCATGCCCTTTTGTGTCTACCAATCAACCTCTCACAACATAACAAAACATGCAAAGGGTCCCCTCCCCATCTGCACCACATAAAACACAAGTACATGAAGCACTTTGAAAATTGGCATTTGATTGACATTGCTAGATGGGAAAGCATGAAACCTCCTCCGTAAAAAAAAAAAAAAAACAAAATGATAACAGATGGTTTTTTTTTTTTTAAATAATAAAAAATTGGTGTGCAGTTGTCATTTCTCAGAATAAAAATCTAAAACTGTTTTATTTGACATTTTGAGGCTCAGAGGTCTACTTGCCTGGAATTTGCAAGCAAGAAATTAGTTGTCATGGCAATGGCTCAATTTTGCTTCTCTGCTTGCTTGTGTTACAATTCTTGCTTTCCAAGAAATTCAAATCTTTCTCTCACACTTCTGTCGGATTCACCTAAACGTAAGCCACTAGAAAATGGGGTGCTTAGTTTCAACACAATCCAATGCCGTGTGAACCATAATGGGACAGTTGAGCATTCTGATAATGGGTTGTCTAGCTTTCCCGAAAAGCATTTGCATGGAAGGTCAGCTAGTGGTTCGAAATCTCCACCTCCTAGGCCTCGCCGGATAATCTTGGTTCGACATGGGCAGAGTGAAGGAAATGTAGATGAGAGTGCTTATACAAGAATTTCTGATCCAAAGATTGGACTGACAGAGAAAGGGTTGGCTGATGCTGAGGATTGTGGGAGGAGGATAAGGGAGATGATTGAGGGGGACAAAGCGCATAATTGGAAGGTCTACTTTTATGTATCTCCTTATAGAAGGACAGTCGAAACATTGAAGGGTTTGGGTAGAGCATTTGAGCGCTCAAGAATCGCCGGCATGAGGGTAGAGCCTCGGCTTAGAGAGCAGGATTTCGGTATGTGCCCCTAGTATCTATGTTTATCTCTTTTTCCATGAAATTTGAAGTGATTTGGATTTTGTGACATTCTCCCATGAAAAGGGAATTTTCAGGATAGGGAGAAGATGAGAGTAGAGAAAGCGATTCGCATGCTTTATGGGCGTTTCTTTTATCGGTTTCCTAATGGGGAATCTGCAGCTGATGTTTATGATAGGATTACAGGTATAGTTTCCATGTAGTTTTTCACTTGCTGATCACTTTGAATTCGACCAAGAAGTTTTGAGACAATGAAGTGTACTTGACTTGAGCAGGATTTAGAGAAACACTAAGATCAGATATTGATATAGGACGATTTCAGCCACCGGGCGAGAGAAATCCAAACATCAACTTGGTGCTAGTTTCACATGGTCTAACGCTTAGAGTGTTCCTCATGAGATGGTACAAATGGACAGTGGAGCAATTTGAGAGGCTGAATAACTTTGGTAATGGAGGCATGGTTGTCATGGAAAGAGGCTATGGTGGAAGGTATTACTCCTCTACTGCATTGTAGAAAATAGAAATCTATGTTTGTGACAAGACGACATTCTAACCAATATTACCTACAAAGAGGCGAATTCAAATTAACTGCAACGAGGCGGGGACACTGCCCTGGCCAACTATCCTAACATACACGGAGAAATCTATTTTCCGTGGCAGAGGAAAGTAAACTGAATCCGTTGCATTTTCCATCTCGCACTCTCTAATATCTGCAGGTACAGCTTGTTAATGCACCACACTGAAGAGGAGCTAAGACAGTTTGGAATGACAGATGAAATGCTCGTTGATCAAGAATGGTAAAATCTAGAAAACCAAATCTTTTCATTTTTTTCGGAAGTTCTTTACAGTGAGTTCTCATTACTTCTATTTAGCACTGTAACCCTGAATTCTGGTTACCTTGTTGGTTTCTGATTTAAGGCAAAAATATGCAAAACCTGGGGAGCTGAACTACGATTGCCCGATGCTAAATTCCTTCTTCACCCACTTCGCTAATGGTGACGATGATGGTAATCGCGCAGCCGTTAGCCTTGGAGCTGATACATGAAAAAATCAACAACACCCTAGATGATATGCTAACTGCTGTAGATATTCTTTGGTATATGGAATTGCAAGTAAACTTTCACATTGTTTTTCCGTACCAACATTATTTTTTCTCCTTTCACTTTGACATGGTAGTAAAGAACAAATTCTGTAGAGCTTCAATCTTTACAAAGAAGTTCAAGCAAGGACACTCAAATAAGTATAATATTGTGACCCGAAATGTAAAAAATTTGTAAATATGAAACACGATTAGCATTGATATTATGAATTGTGGGAATCAAACATGACAAAGGAAGCAAACCGGTTACAGAAGTGGAGTTGAATGGAATTTGTTTTTAATATTATCTGTCAGTGGGCCGGAGTTTTGCTGATTTGATTGGGAAAAATGGAAAAAAATATGATAGGAAAAAATGGAGAAGTGGGGTATCGATCCCCATACCTCTCGCATGCTAAGCGAGCGCTCTACCATCTGAGCTACATCCCCTTGTTAAGCATAATGATCATTCTTATATATTACATACTATCTTTTGAACAAAAGATACCTACCATCTACGCTAAGACCATCTTCAACTCTTGGAGATAAAGTTTAAAATTTTAAGTTATAACCCATAAACTGTTTTTTTTATTCCAACCTTTAAGGCTTAAAATTTTAACCCAAAATTATAAAATAATGATTTTAACCTAATTTTTTCTTTTCGGGAACTTTTTTGAAAATAAAATGTATGTAGATTATCCTAATTTATTTTTATGAACATTTTAATCTAAAACTATTTAAATTCCGATAAGTAATTAAAAATCATACAAATACATAGTTATTTATGAAGTTTTAAGTTAAATTTGATTTAAATTATTTTAGACATTAGATTTAATTTTGAACCGTCAAATCTTTTTTTTACTATTAGATTTGATCTCATTTGATCATAACCGTTAGATTATAAGTAACAAATAAAAAAATGTTTGAAACATGACAGTTTGGTGGGTCCTTAGGGCTTATTTTAGCCCAATGGTTGGAGATGATTTTGGGGGGCGGGGGTGGGTTTAAAGCTTATACTTTAAGCTTTATCCCATGGTTTGGAGATGGCATAAGGGGTGGGGGAGTTGGCTAAGCCTCACAATGGGCTAGCAATAATATGGTTCAAATTCACTTTTAGCGATAATCGAACCTAAGATCTCTCACTTACAAGTGAAGAGAAATACCACTAGACCGTAGTACAAAATGGCGAGAATCGAATCTAAAGATCTCTCACTTATCTTAAGACCATTTTTTTCACTCCTAAGAAAATTTATAGGGTGGTGAATTATTAGCAATTACATCAAACACACACATATGGAAGCAGGAAGCAGCTGTACCCTGTTTTCATGTAGCAAACTTGAAATGTCGAAAAAGAGCATGTCATCGGATAATGAAAACAAAATTAACATTTTTTACCCAAACATAAAAATAAAATTAACATAGCATAAGCCATTATGTTTCTTAATTATCTTCTTCAATAGTTAGACGAAGGGACGGGCATTGCTGAAATTACAAAAATTTCATCCTTTTATCTTCTCTTTCAATATATAACTAGCTTCTTGCCGCATGCATGAATTGTTACACGTTCTCGTGTGTGGCTATTGACTCTTTTACATGCTCATTTTATAATCTTATGATGCTAGGATTATGTCAATCAAACTTTGCTTAATTAAAAAGAGGTCAATCAACTTTCCCCACAATTTACATGCATAGCTGGCGGCCCTTTTCTCAAACTTTTATCGAGACTTCAGACTCTGCGGTTTATGTGTGAATAACACTATCCAAATTTTAATATGATTATATTTTGTATCCCGTTAACACTTTTGCCCCGAACTCGAGACCTGAACCTTACTAAGACGAGTTTATCAAACAAAAAATAAAATACCTTCAAATTTCATACCAAGACAAATTTGTATTCTTAGTTTTATAAATACTCAACGTAGCTGAGCTAAGAAGATAAGCAATGAATAAACCGAACAAAACAAAGCAATTTCCGAATTTTATCCCAAAAAATATGAACACGATCATCTTCCCAAACTAAACCTTAGGTACACATCCAGTCAAACTAATACATCATGCACCAACCTGAAAGCCAAATACGCCATAAGGGGCTTCCCGCCTTGGTTTCGAAATTAAGAAGATCAAAAGATAACCAAAATTAAGAACAAATGAGAGTATAGCCATCGGTACAAGGTAAAGGGAGAGCACGAGACAGACGTAAGAGCACCATTTTTCCGGCATTGTGTAATTGTTTAGTTCTATGAGTCTTCCATGGTTGCAGTTGTAGTCCGTAATGGCCGTGGTCTTTCCTGCTCGTCATTCCGCCTCCAAAAGGCCCTCCTCCACCAAACTTCAAATCCTCTTTGTATATTAGGGCAATCTTCACCGGAGTTCAAGAACCGATTAAACCAAGCCAGCAAAATTTCCTTCTGCCATGCTAAAGGCAGGGTGAGGATTGTGTTACTTAGACCATCCTCAATTGAGTGCCTGTCCAGGCCCTTCGACGCCCTCCTCATCCAAGCAAAATCATCGTAAAAAGGGACCAACCACGTACGTAAAAGCAAGAACCTCACATCCTTGGAAACCAATAGCTGCCCCTTTCCCAGCCCGACAAAGAGACGAGCAGTAACCCTGCTAATCTCGTATCTATGAACTGCAGCCACTTTAGAATGCGCCTCAGACAATTCAGTTTGCGATGCCCATGTTGCCAAGAACTCTTCAGCCATTTGTCTGTCAATCAAAATATCCAAAATCCAATGCAAATTATCCGCTTGCCTTGCAATCTGACCCACGTCTTGCAAGTCTGACTCTGCTGCCCGAGAAAAATGGTGGCGAAGCAATTGCAAACACCCGTCACAAGCCAAGTACAAGGACTCTTTCCGGAGATCATTATGAGATGAATTCTCAAGAAGCATCTTTGACACCAATCCTTTCATCTCACGTCTGGCCTTCTCATCTTTGCCTTCAAGAACCACATGCAGAAGCTTTACAAGAACTTCTTCATTGTTGTTACCCTCTTCAGCCCCATTGGCAACTTCGACAGAGATCCTCTTGAGTACTTCCCCTGCTCCAGTGCCTTCGAGGCGGAGCTCAAACATGAGTGATGCCACCTTCTCCTCTTCATCCTCAGCCCATGGGGCAGCTTCTAAGTATTCTAAACAAGATAAAACACCGGCATCGAATCCAATTGCTGCCGAAACCTAAAGCACACAGAACACCCACAATGCCATCATTCCCATAACCTGCATTTCCTTTTTTGCTTGCTATAACTAATCCAAAGTCAAAATTAAGAAAGAACGAACAAACATTGAATTCGAACAACTGGGTTTTTTTTCGAATCGAAAAAATGGATTTTAATCTATTTCCATTCTAATTATCTACCTAGCTACACTTTTGAAGCAATCAATCGTTAGCTGTAATTACACCACAGAAAAATAGAAACTTCAAAAACAAAAACCATAAAAATTCAAACTTTACCTTCAAAATTCCAAGCACTTTAGGAACATCCTCCTTCATCAGCCACCTCCTCAGATCCTTACAGTACATCAACCTCAAGGCCTCGATATAAACCTCCACGTCATCACAGTCTGCAATCTCCACATTGTACGGCGGCGACGACGACAGCGTCATCCTCTGTTGCTTGACCCACCTCTCCGAGAGCTTCACCGCGAAGAATCGACTGTGCGCGACCAGTATCTGCCGGTGCACATTCATCGACACGCTGAACCCATCTTTGGAGCTAAGAGTGAGCTTAATGTCACTGCTCGACGGGTCGTTGAACTGGTTCCCGGGGCTCCGATTCTCCGTCAGCAGATCGGAAACCCGCTGCATCATCAACGCCTGCTTGTCCTGAACCAAACCCACATGGGTTTTGCGTCCGCTTGACGAACCGACGCCGTTCTGGTGGATCGGGAATCTCGGTTGGGCCATTTCCGGCTCGTTAGCCATTATGTCGGACAGGGTCGTCTTTTCGGATTGCGGCGGCGGCGACATGGGGTTCAATAACCCGGCCGTGAGCATTGAATTGAACCTGCTGAAGCTGGAATTAAACGAATCTCTTTGACCAGAATGGCCATTTGTCAACGCCGGAGTAAAATCCATGACCGGAGAGCGACTACCCGGCGCGAATCGGATCCGGAACGAGGACGGCGAAGAAGAAGGCGATTTCCCAGATGGGTATGTCTGAACCGGGTCGGGTATATGATCAGGGTTAATGGGTTGCGCCAGGCGTGGCTTGGCGGAGATGGGTGTCGAGTCTTTTGAGGCGAAACAGCACCAGGTGTTCTCGGATGAGACAATGGTGGGCGGGCCGAGCTTTCGAGCAGGGTTGGGTGGTGCGGCGGCGGCGGAGGCAGGTGGGGAAGATAGGGTGGTGGAGTCGCGGCACCTGCGGTGTTTAGCTCTGGTTTTGCTTGGGTTCGTGTGGGAATGGAGGTCAGTAATGTTAGCGCTACTAGTAGTTGTTGTTGGGGTTGCCGCAGCTGCCATCAAATATTGAAAAATTGGAAAGAAATAAAATATATAAATTGTCAAGGCTTATGTTTGCATTGTTGTCCTTTTGTTTCAGAGATTGGTACGAAAATTAATCAAAATTATGGAAGTTTTTGGGTTTTTCATTTTTCTTTTGGGTAATGACAGAGAAAGTTAAAAATGGCGGTGTAAACGAAATGCATCAGAAGTTAAAAAAAGATGGAAAAAAGAGGAGCAATTAGAGGAGACTGAGAAAAAGATCGTTCAACAGCAGATGAGACATGAGAGAGAGACCTAAAGATCTTGGCTTTTTTTGGGGTGATGAAACCAAACGCTGGGGGTTTATGAGGTTTTTGAGATGGATGGGGTTTTTGGGTTTTTCAGACTCTCCCTCTCTTCGAGAGATTTTTTAATGTGATCGGCACACGAAATATTACAACATTTGTTATTATACAATGATGAGATTTGTGTGTTAAAATGTTAATAACTTAAAAAATAAAATTTCTCATAGTTATATAAAAACATATAATGTATCATCCGTGTTCGCGTCATAATAAAAAATTCATCCTTTTGTTGATGACTCCGCTGAGGAAGCTTTGGAATTGTCAGAATAAAAAAAGGGGGGAGAGAGATGGTGTGACACGAAAATATTGGGTAAAAATAACCAGACTTTCTAAGAATTCGTTAAGATAATAGATATGACGTGACACGAAAAATTAAAATAATAGATCTTACACGAAAATAACATGAACACGACAAATATGATTCTTTTTGCCAGGCCTAATTGGGATGCAGAATTTATCAGAAATCTTGTGAATCATGTGATTCGTTGCTTGAATTGGTGTGGCAGTTGTGTGTGTTTTAGTCACTGTTTATTTCTTATTTGCTTGGTTTTGGCATCTGCTTGACTGCCCTCAGTTTTTTAGGTCAAATTGGGTGCTTCCATTTGTAAAAGGGGATAGATTTGTGATGATTAGCAATGGGTTCACCATGTCATAGAATTTTTGTTCGGTAGTTTAGCTAACTAACTACCTCCGCTTTTTAGACAATTTTTACCGTTGGGTTTCTTAAAATCAATGTTACAGTCAATCTTTTTACGAAAAGAAATGTTACAGACAATCTTTTTACCATAAAAAATGCTACAGTCAATCTTTACTGTTTATTTTTTATACTACTAAGTAATATCATACTGTTGAAGAAAAATTACATATTCAAACATGAGTCTCATATATGGAGAACAATTTGTATGATACCAGTTTACCATTATGTGACGTTCTAGTTTAATAAGACAATGTCGTGTGGAAGAAAACTTACACGTAGTATTGTATTATCGAATTGGGAAAACATAGTGACGATGAACCCCATTCTATGTGAATATTCTTCTTAAATTGATGAGAAGTCATTTCTATACCAATTTTATCTTCTTGCACAATCCCATTTAGTTTTTATTTGTAAATTAAACAAATCGAGCCTAAAGACAAAAATAAACATGAAAATGCAGAAAGAAAAACTGAATTATGTAGAAGTCATGTTTTAGATTGCATTATTCAACCACTTATTGTTTAGATTTTTTTATTGGTAGGATAAATTATGTCTCTTTCCACAAAATGCATGCTACACTTGGAACCGAAAATGATTGAGAAAGACCAAGCAGGCATCTAAAATTCGCACTAAAAATGCAAAAGGAGTCTATATCATAAGTATTATCTCTTATTTCTTCCATTTTTTTTCTTTTTCTGCCGCAATTCCCTATTTTTCTTTTTTAAAGTTGTTAGATTGAATAAATTAAATAATATAAAGAAATGAGTACAAAAGAAAAAAAAAAAAAAGGAGAATACGGAGATCATTTCTCATTTGAAAACAAAAGAACAAGAAAACACATATGCCATTACTGTATTGTGTTAAAAGAACCTACAATTTTGTAAGACGATAAAGATAATTAGTGTAGAAGAAAGTAAAGTATATATCCATTAGCAGGGGATGAAGATGCCTGTGATCTGTTTCCAAGCTACGTGACATGAAACTTTTGCTGTACATTTTGATTTGTCTTCAAAGTTTTACAGTAATGGAAGACAAAAAGGTGATTCGATTACTATAACAGATATATACCATACTTTATATCATCCCAACTTATTTTGTTCTTTCTCTCCTTTCACTTTGCTTGATACCTTGTCATTTTGGGTTTCATGTGATGTTCCTCTCTCTCTCTCTCTTAAAATGCACACAAAATTTTCGAATTTTCTATAGCGTTCTGACGCACCGTAGGTTTGTATTATGAAATTTTTAATCGTTAAATCTTTAGTAAAAAATATAATAATCAAGATCTAACAGTTAAAATTTCAAACTATAAGATACTTTAAAGCATCGTAGAATTGAATTTCCGCAAAAGTTCCTTCCTAAGATCTTATCTCATGGGTGCCACAATGAAATGCTATGTCATGCTCATTGCTAGCTGTATAGAATCACCATTCTACATATCTTCCCTATACTTTTCACACCAAAAACACAGGCAAGCAAGTAGGAAAGAAAGAAAGCAAGAGGATAGAAAACTCTTCCCACTTTATGGCATTGGGGGAACCAATATTGTCCACACGGAGACAAATATTGGTCCACAGCTAATAATTTTGGTTACCCATTGATCTAACCGTCCTCAAGTTTGACTACAAAGGAAAAGAAAGTTAACTTGATAGAAAACATGGTGCCCTTCATTTTGGTCAATTACATAAACATTTAAAAAAAAATTATGGTGAGAATTGTTTGGGTAAACTTGTGTGTTTAAATAAAGTAAATTGCACCTACTTAGTACTACATTTTAGTAGTATTCCTCTTCACTTGTATGCGAGATGTCTTAGATTCGATTCTCGTCAAAGATGAATTTGAACCACATTATTGTTAGCCTATTGTGAGGCTAAATCCATCATCTTCCTTTAATGTAAATAATATCGTTTGTTTAAGATATAAAAAAAAAAAAGAGTAAATTGCAAGAGAGAGAAAAACATTGAGAAATAAGGACGGCAACTATGAAACCTTTGAACATTTGGTTGTTGGATATGTTGGATTTTGGTTGGGGCCCAAAGGCCCCATACAAGAGAGGAGATTTCGCTTTCGGCTGTTTTTTTTTTTTTTTTTTATGCAAGTATGGTGAACCTATTGAGACTTGGAGAGCATCGATATATTGTCGTTTGCATATTCTAGCGTAACCAATACAAATCTTTTACTCGACTTTGATTGTAACGTATAGTGTAGGAACACAATTTTTACGGCGAATTATGTAATGAAACATATACGACAAAGACTCTTGAAGGATACAAATATCCCCCAAATGCTTAGGAAACACTACACGCTTCTGAATAAGCATCAACTATAAGCATGCATTGTTACTCAAGAAATCTTTCGGAGAAGCATCATCTGATAGCCAAAAGTGTGCTTTCATGTTTCGCCCAATCTAGGGTTGGGAGGATTCGATTCTAAATTTATGCTAGCATTCTTCAAACTCACTATCAAATAAACCAATAAATGTGGGCAGTGGCGAAGCCAAGAATTTTCAGGGGGAGGGAGAAAAAAAGTGTAAAAGGTTAGAAAAAAATTGTAGGCAATGAAATCTTTTTAGATAGTAAACAATATTAATGTCGTTCATAATTTATCAATATAAATAAGTTACAATTGTTACCAACGTGGTTTCACGTCCTGAAAACATGGTATAGTACCCATGTAAACAATCACAATGATTAGTCCTTGATAATATATTTTAAGGCATGACACCGCAACCATCTTGTAATGCATTGTTGACTTCTACTGAATTTCTTCAACAAAACAATTCCACTTAGAATTTCTCTTTAACTTGACACTCTAACCTAATGTAGAAAATATATTCTGAAAGATTTTATTACTAGCACAAAGACTTATATTTATAAAATTTTACCACTTAGCACAGAAAAATAAAAAATGATTTTACCACTTAGCACAAAAAATATATTCCAAAGGCTTATATTCATTGAAAACCTTTACCTAGTTTAAATAAAAATATCTTATAAAATTCCATTTAACTTTACAATAATTTTTTTATATTTATTTTCTTATAGTTTTCTTTTTAGATGAGACTAGAAGAAAAAATTGATTATATCATGCACATTACAATCAATATAGGTTTTCCGCGTGGAATTTCATCAGGTGGTCCTTAAAAGGCTACAATCCAATCAGAAGGGCAAAATTCTCACTTTCAATGGACATTTCCAACGAGGGAAGAGGCGGTCGCTTCTTCTCGCTCCTCTGTAGCTTCATCAATGAATGTGAGTAATCTATTTATGCATAAATGATTTATTCCCATGCGCCTAACTGGCGCACATGAAGCCATTGGACGCATATAATTGATGAAAGACCGATTGTGGCGTACCATTAGCAAGGTGCCACGTGTACTCAACGGTAAATTTGCTTCCATTTCTCACAGGAACAACTAGAAACAGTATACTAGCTACACATTCACAATCCACGGTACATGAAACTGAACCTAAGCTCCCACATCCATTTTGTCTAGATCGTCTTCCTAAGCTTTTATTTGCACAATTCTGTGTTGAAGATGCATTTTTTTTTTCACCATGAATCCATTTTTTTTCCTTTGACTCACACTATGCTGCCGGTGTCACAAACTCTGGCCTCTATTCATTTTGTAAATCTAATTTTTGTTTCTATATATGTAACTCATTACAATCTTCGAATTTCTAATGATCTATGCATGATTATAAGTTGAGAAGAGTGAGCATGAGGAGAATCTAGATTCAACAATTTATAGTGAGTTAAATTTTAATAAATTTGAACATTCGCATAAAGAGTTGCCCTATGTGACACTATACTATAGTTGGTTAATTGTGGATGCATGGAATGGGAATAATGGATTGGGCTATCTTGCATGTAATTTTGTTCAAACATTGAACACATGGTTAACAACGAATTTTCGTTCTCCTTCATCGCATGTAGATATTAACTAAATTATGTGATTTTTCTTCTCAATAATGCTGTGTTTTATTTGTCAAGATAATGCTAATTAAACGCAAAGACTCAACTACGTACATTACTTACCACATATCTCATAGATTCATAGTGGCAAACTCTATCGTTATATAGGAGACTCACTTTTTTTGAAATGTTAATAGCGTAATTAGATTTATGTTTCTAACTATAAATAACAATAGTCTCTCTTGTTTTATGTTTCCATTTTTCTAATTATTTATATGCTTTTGTTTGTAATCATTATTGGGTAAATTTTTATTTACAACCCTCATGTTTCGTGGTATTCAATATTTAGTACATCAAGTTTTTTTTCATCTT